TGGCAAGCATGTTAAAGATCATTTGAGTACAGCTTAGCTTTCTATTTATGTGGATATATGGAGAAACTACAGGGGCCACAAAAGGCCATACTTACAAACAGTGTGTTTGGTTTGTCTGTTCTAGCTACTGTAGAAACATGACGGTTCAACATGGCGGACTCTGTGGAAGAGTCCTCTGAAAAATACTTCTTATTCTAAGGTAACAAAAACACACTGATTCTTATTTTCTGGTGATTATACACTAATGAAAACATACCTATGAATATCTTATTCCATGTCTGCCAATAGATCATCCTAATTGTTACAAACCTTTAAAGAGTAACCAGATCTAAATCCTGCTAGCTCCCTCCCTCCCAGCAAATTTAAAAAATGCAGCAGAGAGAATCAAATAGGGGCAGCAACACCGGCCAGAGTGACAGAGTACAGCTACCAGTAGTGGCAGCCATGAGCAGCTCTTGTCAGACTCTGTGTTCACGCTGGGAACTCAGAGAGTCTGCTGGAACTTTCACAGTCACTATAAGCACATTTATGGCAGTTTGTAAACTTTTCGAGGGCTACCTGTGTAACATGAACTAAGCTAAGAAGCTCAGAAAGGCTAACTCTGCTGTGTCAGTCTGCAGAGTGGAGACATAATGTGTTTTGTATCCTTACTGGCAATGAACCAATCTAACTGGTTTTACAGGTTTCAGTCTTGTTTTCTTGTAAATGCATACAAAGACTTTTTTATAGCAAAATATGTAGAGTCAAATACTTTGCAATAAAATGTCCAGATTTGGACCTGAATCTATCAACAACACTACTGTTTTAGTTACTTAAGCTACTTATTATTATATATACTATACTATATTATATATACACACACAAAATACACTACAAATACAGCTAGCTTCAACAACAGTTCAACATTCCTTATCTAGTTGTGTTACTATTTCTGCTTATGACTCAGTGTTTACATGAAACCGTTGGGGTGGAGTTTGACCTGTAAGGAAGATGGAATCAAATGTGTTTTGTATCCTTACTGGCAATGAACCGATCTAACTGGTTTTACAGGTTTCAGTCTTGTTTCTTGTAAATGCATACAAAGACTTTTATTATTTTACCTTATTAATTATTAATATGTTAATAATGACTGTTGCTGGAACAAGCTGATTTCACCTTAAAACAGATCTGCATGTTGCACTGGGCAATAAAGCAATACATAATATTAATATAAAGAAGATTACATTGAGAGTGGATTTATTTATTTATACAACATATCAGGTCCTCATAATGAAGTAGTTAAGCTTTAACGTATTGTATCTCAAAGCAGGTTCAAATATACAGAAATCCATTTATGCTTAAAAGAACAGTTTGATTAACTCACCAAGCTCATTTTCCATTTTTGCTGGTCTTCTCTTTTCATAGCCAAGTTATCAGTGAACAATTGAACAACACCGAGGGCTCTGCAGAAGTCAGTGGATGAAATATATCCTGAAAATGTTTTAAGAAAACAGGTATTCAGGCAGTTTTTACAGCCAGTCCGCACAGCACTGACTGTCTGCAGTGACACAACAAAGCAAACTGCGTCAAAGTTTCTCTCAGGCAGTCTCATAAGGCAACCTGCCTAACTGGTTTTACTCATGTTGTGTAACAGCAGAGAGCTTATGAACATGAACTCAACATATCAATTAAAATGAATAACAAACGTCTGCAGAATATGTAAACATGCTTTCAAAGTCTTTGTTGTCTGACTATTTGGGGAGTCTATGTTTGACTGTGTATGCCAATGAGTGTAATAAACCAAGCAGTGAAGCAATGAGAAAATGTTTTTTTTAAAACAAACTGGGTTATTATTAACCCAAAAAATGCCAAACAAATATGAACCAAGAATTTAATAACTAGGCCTATAAAGAGGTCAACAAAATATAACTAACTCAAACAGCCACTAAAGTGTTAATTGATTGACATATTAGCATGTGTTTTGGCCCAATAAGCTGCACCCTCAGCCACGCCTTTTGCTTCACTAGGAAGGAACCGCCCCCAACAACCAAGGTAAAATCAGAATCAGAATCAGAATTGGGTTTATTGCCAAGTAAGTTTTTACAAGTACAAGGAATTCCCTTGGTGCGTTGGTGCATAAAAATCACACAAAAGTTAAAATATAATAAATAAAGATAAAATTAGAAAGATCTAAACTGTACAGGAATAATGAGACCAGCTGCAGATGGAAAGAAACTGTTTTCCGACGTGAGGTTTTGGTCCTGATGGGCAGAGGGAAGTGTTTCAAAGTGCTCAAAAGACAAAGAAACAAATTATTCATATAACAGGAAACCTCTTGTGTAACCATCCAGTGTTAAAATGTGTGCACATAAAACAATGTAAGGTTAATAAGCAAATAAACCAACAGATTTCAAATCAAACAAAGTGTGTAATGTTAATTGTTTGGGTGAGGTTGACTGCAAATGAGATTAACCTGTGTTAGATAACAACTAATGAGGTGAGGTGAGCGTGAGCTGGGGTGCTGTTACCCTGTGTGGCTGTGGCATATTTGCATATATTAATGAACAAAGTGCTGAGCTGAAAATAATGTCAGTGCTCCTGTATTTCGTTGTTGCAGAGTTCAAGCTCAGATAAAAAAACATTTCAAGTCAATTTTTTATGAGACTGAACTCAGACTTTTGTGATGTTTTTGCAGATGGTGGCAGATTTTCCATCAGCTTACCTTGTTATACTGAAGCACAGCTGTACACATTTCAGTCTCCGTCCTAACCAGAACTCTGTAACCTCTCTGTGCCACAGCATATCTTTGGAAACAGAGACTAAAAATTCTCCTTTTCCTACATGGTTTTGGCAGACTGTGTCTGCATGTGTAATTTTGATGTACTTCTCTGTGTCTCTGCGCACTGACTTACAGTACGTTGTTCCCTCCAGGCAATACAAACTACAAAAACTGTAAATGAAATGCCAAATAGCACTTTGGAATTTATTAAATCAAAACCAAAAATATGTATATGTATATGAATATGAATATGAATATGAATATGAATATGTATGTATGCATGTATGTATGTATGTATGTATGTATGTGTATATTTCATTTAAATCAAATGTATAATATATTCAAAGATGAGTCATGCATCACGCTGTCATAATTATCCTGACAGATACATTATGGTTATGGGTCTCTATAAGAAATGGCATAATTTAAATCCAGACCCTAAATTAGCATCTGGTGGATTGTGAAATAACAGTTCAAACAGTGCATTAGAATATGGACAGTGATGATATTTGATCTTTGACTTACTGACTCACAGCAGAGACTGGGGAGTGACCAAGTAGAGGGGAAGGAAGTAGGAAACAGGCTATTGCACTAACAGGAATAACTATTGTAAGAATTCAGTCATAAGTCAGTAAAAAACATAACAATAGTTTATTTATAATAAAATTAAATTAATAACAAATTCATTCAAAACCAAATGGCAATTCAGCAATGATGGAATGTAACTAAGTACATTTACTCAAGTACTGTACTTCTATTCAGAGATACTTGTACTTGAGTATATTTCCATTTTATGCTGCTTAATTCTCCACAACATTTATGAGACAGCTTTAGTTATTTTTGCACACAACTACACAAAGTTTATATAAGTGCAGCCATTTACTAAAGACTGCTTAAAATAATAAGAACTGTGTGTTTGCTGTTTGGTAGTGAGCAGCTGGCGTACGGTGGGTTTATCAGAACTTCCTCAATGAAAATGCAGAGTTTGATAAAGGTGCTGAGACTAAACCATACTGTGTGTGTGTGTGTGTGTGTGTGTGTGTGTGTGTGTGTGTGTGTGTGTGTGTGTGTGTGAGAGAGAGAGAGAGAGAGAGAGAGAGAGAGAGAGAGAGAGAGAGAGCGAGCCATAGACAGTGTTGGTTCATTAAGTCGCCAGAAGAGGGCAGACAAAACAAATCTATGCTACCCTGCAATGTGTAATTGTTCCAGTTTATTATTTTTGTCATCCTAGCCCATTTCACCTCCTCTATTCTCCTCCGTCACTGCCACTAAAACAAATGCTGTCACTGACGCAAACAGAAGAAACACACTTCCCAGGTAACAAAAGGCTAAAGTCCAAACATTTTCCTGGCTGTGTACCATTCAGTGCTCCTGTTACTGCTTTGTGGGTTTCCATCTTGTTTGATTTCAAGTGTGAGACACAGTTCTTTAAATTAAAGTAATCAACAGATGCTGTAAAAACTGAAACAGAAATGCAATCAAAGTAAAACTTTAAAGCCTGTTAAAATGGATTTTGCAAATCCATTAAAAAAATGTAATAACTTTGTCATTATTTATTTCTTATTCATTGTTGTTTTAATAGTACAATTTAAATGTAAATGTATTACATCTTTTCATGAATAGTTTTTAAAGACAATCAGTCTGTGCGCAAATGCAAATGTATTTGCACTGAAAATGTTTCGAGATGTTTAAAGAGAAACAAATATATTTGTGGCTTTGTCCATTTTTCAATCTTTGATTTTAAAGTAATCCAAAATGATTCCAATTAGACTGCTTTTTTTGTAATCCAGTGGATTTTGTTAGCCGACTAATTACAAAAATTGCCATGAAATTTGTATTCAGTAACTGAATCTGACCCAAAACAGAAAATAGGTCATAAATAAATAAATAAACAGGACTTCTGACAATTTCTAATTAGTATTAACCACGCATAGATTTATGACTTGAGTGTTTATACATTTTATAGTGAGACTAATATAAAAGTAGCGTCGGTGCATTAGAAGTCAGTCTTGGAGTTCTCTGTGTATTGTATGCATATACATGCAGAGGTTGTAGCTGGACCGAGGTGCTGATGAAGACACAAACCGCGTTGTTTTGCAGCACAGATAAACTTAACTGACCAGCTGTATCTGAAGATACATATCTTGTACAGAAATAGTCGTTTGTGGTGGTGTTAAATCCCACAAAACTCCAAAACTTAACGAATATGAAAATGAGATGCATCCACTAAAAAACACATTGGTAAGAGTAAAAGGACAGACTTTAATTCCAGTTTCTGAATTAGGCCTACATTTTGACAACAAATTTGACAACACACACACATTCTGCTCAAATATTTTAATATTATCTATCAAGTATTTTTATGATGACTAGAAAATCTGTGGTAGTTTTCTTAAGATTATCATACAAAGTTGGCAAATATTGGCTTTACTCCAATACAGTAGAGCTTTATGTGTTTATGAGCTCATGCTAGAGCTAGACTGATAAATGTGTCAATATGTTGGCCGATATTGGCTTATCACAGATTGTTGGCATTATATATTTCAGTTGAGCCCATACTGCAGCGGCCTGGGTTCAATGCCTGTCATCTCCTCTCTCCCCTGCCTTTCCTGTCGCTCTCTACTGTTATGTCAAATAAAGCAAAATGCCAAAAATATAATTTAGAATATGTACATCCATATTGGCACAAAAATCTGGTGTCGATTGGGCTCCACCAAAAGATGTCTATTTCCCACCTCAACAATACATCCCTGTTCATACTGTTTATTACATACATAATACATATAATAGGCCACATTGTATTATCACACTCAGTGCGTGGGAAAAAAGCTTTATTGCGAGTGGGAGTTAACTTTCTCTTTGAAATTGTACCAACTTACACTTTTTAATGAGGGGAAGAAGAGTGTCTTGGTCTAAACTGAAACAGATGACTTATGTATTGATTTGTGCAGAGGAAGAAATTGATGACATGAACAGATGCTTTCAGTGGCACAACAAACATCTGTATTCTGTTGACATGTTGGCAAATCGATATCCTTAACTTTAGGGCATACCTTCCTCTGACAGATGTCAGATAACCATGAGGAAAATGCATTTTCCTTTCCATTTTCATTCATAACAATAAAATAATAAAAATCCCCCAACATAACAATAAAACATGCTTTATAGTTAGTTATAATATACTATGCATGACAAAATCAGCTGATATTTTAGTTTCAAAATGTAACTAAATACTGTACACATTATACTTCTGGTACTACTTATTTGTTTTAATTAAATTAGTGGAATTTCCACAGTACACTCTGACAGTAAATTGCAAAGATATGGTCTTTCCTTTTCAAAATAGAGAGAAAATGTACATTATGTGCTGAATTTTATCATCTCGCTGCAGCTTCCACATGAATACAAATCCAGTAAGGTTTCCAGATTGCCTTCCCTTCACCTTGGATTACTTTCTTGGGCAAATAAAATAAATAAAAAACAGTCTCTATACAGGTTAGATGTGCCCATTACAACTGGCTATCACATCAAATAATAATGTTTGGTACATAATGGAGACAATGTATTGAGTAATTAGTGTATTGTAGAAGACGGGGATATAATACATTACCTAAAAATAATGGGAAATATAGTTATACAGTTTAATGATTGGAATGTTTGTAAAGTGTCTACCAAAACCAAGAATACTTCTGACTACAGCCGGCCAAATTACCACAGACTGACAGACACTTGTGACACAATGAATAGTGAAACTTCAGTAACAGGATGTTTTTAGCCTATTGAGATGATTCATTCAGAAATATCAGCTTCTGTGTCAGAGACCACGTCGTCCTGTGGTAGCTCAGATCCATAACCTGATGTCTGAGAGAAGTTGAGGGTCAGCTGGTTCTCAACATTTGTGCTGATCTGAAGTGTGGACAGCCATTGTAGAATATTTTCAAAGTGGCTGGTTGATATTCTCCTCTCTGGAGAAGACTGAGCAATAGATGGTGCTAGACTGTCTCCTTTGACTGTAAATTAAACAAAACACATATTTGACTGTAACACTGTGCTCAGTGTGAATGCTAGATATTAAACCATTTTTACTTACAGTCCTCGAACAGAAGATCCTTGCTTTTCCGAAGACAATCTGTGGCTCTCATTATGTCCTTATCCAGCTTTTCAATTTCCTGGCTGATTTTTTCTCCTATGATTTCCTTCTTCTCCTTTCCATCTTTCTTTTTCTGACCAACACCCTTGGCTTTGAGTTTGGCCATGTCACCAACTAACAATTGATCATTAAAACAAATGATTAGCGCAACAGGATATTTATATTATGATGGAAAAAACTAACTCATTAATCATCCCCATCCCAGTGTAATACTCACTCAGGGACTTGGATTTAGTGCTTGTCACACTCCCCCTGATATCAGCTTGCAGCTCGAGGAGTTTTTCCCTGAAGCCCATCATCATCTCCAGCTCCCTCCGCCTGTACTCCTCCTCCAGCCGCTGCTTCAGCACATGTTTGAGCTGCCTTCTCCTGAACTTCTCTTCAATATTCAGGTCGATGTTGTTCATGTCAGGGCAGAAGAGCCGGCCGCTGTTCCCTGCCACCATTTCCTCTATCTTCTCAAACAGCTCGGTAACCTGATTCAGATCAGCTCTCTTCATATTGTTCACAACATGGTATTTGTTCTCACACTTGTCAACCAACCAGCGTAGAGCTCGATGCTCCCTTTCAATGTGTTCCTCTACGGATTTATCTGCTAGTTTGTCTCCATATGTGAACAGAACCATTGTGTGTTTCCAGACACTGGCATCCAAGAGGTTCATGTGTTCCTCCAGAGCGACCTGTTGAGCTTCTCTGAACGCCAGGTCCAAGGGGACAACCAGCAGAACAGCATGAACGCCTAACGGGCTCATCGACAGACCTCGAACAATTTCTTTGTCCATTTCTTTAGTGCAGAGGGAGGACTCCTCATACCAGCCCAGGGAGTCGATCACTGTGATCCTTCTGCCAGCAACTTCCCCTTCCTCCACCTGACAGTGCGTATTCGCACAGGTGGCAAACACATCCTTACGCAGGAGGTTGTTTCTTGTTGCACTCTTTCCAGATGTCTTCTGACCAAGCATCACAATCCTCAGTTCCCGCAATTCATCTTTGGAACCTGAAAAGAAAACAGCTGTCATTGCATTTTTATTGAGTTTTGAAGGTTACCAGGTTTTTCAATTGGTGGCCCAAAGAGAAACATCCAGCCTGATTAAAATACAGGAACACTGCAGATAATAGCGTTATTCTAAATATGACTGTTATTTTTTTTCAGTCTAGTATATGGCCAATGCTGATGCTTGCTTGTGCCTACAGACTGAGTACGGAACATGAGCAACAGGGCTGTGACTACAGTTAACAAACGGCCACTGACCGAGACAGACTGACAGCAGTTTCCATTCGTATATCCTGGATCTTTTAGCATTTCTGTTAACAAGGCTTTTAATGTACTCTATTTATCAAAGGGACACTTGACGTAGAAAGATAGGGCTGGCAGCAGCGCAATAAAAACACTCTTTGTGTGGATGCTGCAGGGATGCTAGCCGGAGCTGTTGTGAGACAAACTTCAAGCACTGCTCACACATGCTCTGCGGATAAGGGGTTAATGTGCTTACATTTGCTAATTAGATCTGAACACAATAGCTGTGGCTGATTGGAATGCTAATAGTTTTTCAGGTATTTGATCATAAACAAAAGTGCTTTGACTGAAATATTTCAGTCTGAACAAAAGTGTTAAACTGACCAGCCTTGCTTCATAAGATTAGTATTAACTGCAGCACTCTTCTTGTACTTCTGTAATTGTCTTTCCTCTTGTGTCTGTTTACACTCATAATGTGGAAACAGCTCTCACAATGCCACACTTATTTACTTGTGACATTAATGCTCGATGACTGAACCGTACCTCTCAGGGATTTTCTTTTGGCCTTGACTTGACTTTGCCTCAATCGCGCTCCTTCTTCTACTCTTCGTGTTTTCTCTTCAATAGTTAGAAATATCTTCTCATCTGGAAAAAAATGGCTCCAACCATTTCCAGCCACAGTCCAAGTAATTTTCTCCAGTAGCTCTGTGATTTGAGTTTCATCTGCTTTCTTGTTATCAATGACATGATATCTGTTTCCACATTGTTCAACTAGAGACTGAATGGCCTCTCCCTCCCCTTCGATGTACTGCTCTATGGTATTTGGTCCCAGCCAGTCTCCCCTGGTGAAAACTACAACAGTGTGTCTCCACACTCCTTCTCCGAGAAGCTCCATGTGTGTTGTCACTGCATCTAAGTGTTTGGCCTTGAAGGATGCATCTGCGTCTATCACCAGCAGGAAGACGTGAGGCCCAGGGGGGCACAGGAACATGCTGCGCATCACTTCCTCTTTGATTGCCTCAAGAGTGTCGAACGCTCGGAGGCTTTTCCACCAACCTGGTGTGTCAACCAGAGTTATTTCAGTTTTACCCACAAAACCATGCCGTGCCACTGACTGCGCCGTTCTTCTTCCATCTTCTTGTTCCATGATTCCCAGGATAGTGTTCCCTACTGACGTTTTCCCAACACTTCGGCTTCCCAAGAGAATTATCTGGAGTTTTGGGATGGTTTTTCTCTCTTCTGTTAGACAAAACAAAGCTTTATTAGTCAAGGAGCTTACAGCAATTTATACAATACATTATTAAACTTAGCTAATGAAAGAATGAAAATACATTAGTACATTGACCATAGTAAAATAAATGAATGGATAAAATAAATAACACTTACCAGGTTCTCTTCACAAAATGTTTAAAGGCTAGTTCAACACTGTGAAAAACATACTCTTTTGTCTGTACACTAAATATATGGCTGGGGCAAACAGGCAGTTAGTTTAGCTTAGCATAAAGAATGCATAAACTCGTCTTCCATCAGCTAAAGCTCACTAATTAACATGTTTTTGTTTGTTGAGTCCATGAAAGAAGAAAGAAATTGTTAAGTTAAATCTCGTCTTTGGTTTTCTGGAATTGTGGGAGACTACTAGTCTCGTTGTCTTGGTGAGAGAGACTCCATAACACCCCACAGGAAAACAATTCGGATAACCACATGTACCTGTTCATTTTGTAATGGACAACAGGGAATTGAAGCCTCTTGTCTACAAGACCGGTCTCTTGAAAGAGCTGAAGCAGGCTCTCAGTGGGGTCTGAGTGTAACTGGCTGGCTGGTGACCCCTGTAGTTGCTAGCTCCCAGACCACTTGTCCCTTCTTTCTTGGACCTGACTAATGTACAGCACTTTGGATTTTGCCAGCTCCCTGTTGGATTTGTTTGCCCTCATTGGGATGTTTATCTAGAACTAAAAGAGTGTGTTCATTGGATGTTCCCATTTTTGTGATGAGCAGTAAACTGAACATATCCGTTTGTAACTATGCAATGCTGGTAGGTGGATTTGTTATCTTCCGAACTAGTTTCCACCTGGTTTCAGTCTTTATGCTAAGCTAAGCTAACCATATGTTGGAAGTAATTTCATGTTTACCATACAGAGAGTGGTATTATATTCTGAAAGTAATTTAAAGCTTTAAAGCTTTAAACCATCATACAGTGTATTGAATGAGCTACAGGACGCGTTGCCACTGTCACATTCACCTTGAATGAGTATCTTCATTTCTTGTCTTTGTTCCTCGGCCCTTCTCCGTCTCTTTTCCGCCCTTTCAGCCACTTCTCGTTGCTTCTCTCTAATGATGTTAAATATCTGTTCTTCTACCTCGTAATAGCTGCTCTTGTTGTGCCCCACCATCTCCTCTATCTTCTCCAGCAGCTGTGTCACCTGAGTTGAGTTATAGTTCTCCTTGTTATTGAACACGTGGTACCTGTTCCTGCATCTTTCTATTAACCACTTCAGTGCATCTCCCTCACTCTCAATGTGTTGCTCTATTGTCCTCTTCCCGAGGAAATCTCCACAGGTGAACAGTACCATGGTATATTTCCAAACACGCTTTTCCAGGAGCTTCATGTGCTCCTCCACAATCCTTTTCTGCTCCGCAGTGAAAGCGCAGTCTATGGGAATAACAAGGAGGAAGACATTTGGTCCAGGTGGACACTTGGACGCATTGAGCTTAAATGTTTGCTTGTCTCTCTCTGGGATCTCAGTGAGGGAGAGGGAGCTGTTCCATCCTGGAGCATCCACCACGATGAGCTTCCTGCCATCAACGTCTCCATGTCTTACCTCAGACTGGATTGTTCTTGTTCTGCCACACTCAAACCTTTCCTCTCTCAGTATGGTGTTGCCAGAAGAGCTCTTGCCAGCCCATCTCCCACCAATCAGGATGAGTCTGATCTCTTTCTCCCCTGGAAGACAAAGGAAAACTTGATAGTGTCACTTTATGGACCAGAAGTGAAGAAATAGACAGTTTCACCAAGATGTTTTCAAAAGCATTGTGAAACGGCTTCTTTGGCTTGATGATAATGCATTTTGTTATCAAACTGGCGGAGAAACTTCAGTAAAAGGAAGTAATCAGATTTCATACTGAGGAGAACACAGTCAATTAAGGTGAGAAAACGACCAAAACTACAATGACCCGGTTTCTTCTGCTTCAGATGACTGACAGAAGGTGGATGCTCCGGTAAACCTTTGCTTCTGTTGTTCCTCTGGGATTTTATGGCAGAGTTATTTTTGACTTTATTAATCCCTTTTATTTGAGAGACAGTTTGAAAAATAACAGTAAGGTGAGACATGACCAAATAATGGAATCATTTTTAGAATGACCCTGAACCAAAACAAATCATTTCGACGTTAAAAGAAGCTACTTAGACAAAAAGATCAACAAAAAATAGAAAATCAAAATACTTGTATGATGTAGTGCAGTGCAACACAATAACCAAATGTTTCATTTCTCCAAATGTTTTTTTGGGGGGGTCTACTATCTTGCTTTTCTAAAGATGATTCACTTCTATGTTGAGAGACTGTACTTTATAGTGGTGTTATAGTTATAATCAAATGTGTGTTTGTGTTTGTGTGTGTGTGTGTGTGTGTGTGTGTGTGTGTGTGTGTGTGTGTGTGTGTGTGTGTGTGTGTGTGTGTGTGTGTGTGTGTGTGTGTGTGTGTATAAGCGCCCAATTAATCTACACTAACTACAGCCTCAGAGCTTAGAGCTGAATCACAGCATAAAAAAGTAAAAACGCTAAATTACACAAAACTGGTATTTTTGCAGAACATTTGCATTGGTGTTTCTATTTCTGCTTATGACTCAGTGTTTACATGAAACCGTTGGGGAGAAGTTTGACCTGTAAGGAAGATACTGGTTCTGATAACTAAGATGGAATCAAATGTGTTTTGTGTCCTTGCTGACAATGAACCGATCTAACTAGTTTTACAGGTTTCATTGTGTTTAAGTGTTGTTTTCTTGTATATGCATATGAAGACTGTTCGTATTGTTTTACCATATTAATTGTTTATATGGTAATAATGACTGTTGCTGGAACAAGCTGATTTCACCTCAAAACAGATCTGCATGTTGCACTGGGCAATAAAGCAATACATAATATTAATATAAAGAAGATTATATTGAGAGTGGATTTAATTTATACAACATATCAGGTTCTCATAATGAAGTAGTTAAGCTTTAACGTATTGCATCTCAAAGCAGGTTCAAATAAACAGACCACCATTTCTGAAAATTATTAAAAGAACTGTTTGATTAACTCACCAAGCTCATTTTCCATTTTTGCTGGTCTTCTCTTTTCATAGCCAAGTTATCAGTGAACAATTGAACAACCCCGAGGGCTCTGCAGAAGTCAGTGGATGAAATATATCCTGAAAATGTTTTAAGAAAACAGGTATTCAGGCAGATTTTACAGCCAGTCCGCACAGCACTGACTGTCTGCAGTGACACAACAAAGCAAACTGCGTCAAAGTTTCTCTCAGGCAGTCTCATAAGGCAACCTGCCTAACTGGTTTTAATCATGTTGTGTAACAGCAGAGAGCTTATGAACATGAACTCAACATATCAATTAAAATGAATATATGAACATGCTTTCAAAGTCTTTGTTGCCAGTCTATTTTTGACTTTGTATGATGAGGACTAAGAGGAAGTCATATTTGCATTAATGAACAAAGTGCTGAGCCAAAAATAATTTCAGTGGAAGTAACCTTTGCTCCTGTATTTCGTTCAAGCTCACATATCAACACTACACACCATTTCTTAAGCAAGTCAATGTTTTATGAGACTGAACTCTGACTGGGTCTCTTGCTGATGTTTCTGCAGATGGTGGCAGATTTTCCATCAGCTTACCTTGTTATACTGAAGCACAGCTGTACACATTTCAGTCTCTGTCCTAACCAGAGCTGTGTCACCTCTCTGTGCTGCAGCATATCTTCCTGGGGAGCTGGGACCAAAAATTCTCCTTTTTCTATTTTTTTTTTTGGTAGACTGACATCATTTAGATGTCACTGGATGATCATGTGTTAGTTCTTTGTTGCCTGTACCTGTCTCTGCACACTGACTTATACTGCTAAGGATAATAGTCTCTCCAGTGGAGTCCTCATAAACACTCACTGACACTACAAAATGTAAGCCATTATAAGAAATGTGTTTTTACCTCAAATGTGCAGCTTGCCATGATGAAACAAAAGTGGATAGAAAAATAATTTTCCTTTTCAGCCCCCAAAGAAATAAAAACTAGAAAAGCTGCAAATAAAATGCTAAGCATCACTTTGGATGAAATGAAATCTAAACCAAAGATGTTATTGCATGTTGTATGCAGATGTATTTACTTTACAGTAATGCACTTCATTTAAATTACAAAGACATAATTTATTCAAAGATGAGTCATGCAGTGCCTCATGCCATCATAATTACGCTGACAGATACATAATGGTTATGGGTCTCTATAAGAAATGGAGTAATTTAAATCCAGAGCCAAAATTAGCATCCAGTGGATTGTGAAATTACAGTACAAACAACTTGTTTATCTTTAGTTTAATTTGTAGTTGTTCTTTGTCTCTAAAACATCTACAGAACAATTCAATCAAGTATAATTAGAAATGTGGTCCCCCATAAAGCTCACCATGTAAAGCTTGCGCCCTGTGTGTTAAGGCTGCTTGTGCGGCCTTGGTTCGATTCCAACCCGCTGCCCTTTGGTCTATGTCATCCCATTTCTCTCTCACCCTAGTTTCTCTGTCTGTCTCTATCCAAAATAAAGGCATAAAAAGTCCCCCCAAAAAATCATAATAAAAAAACAATTATAATCATAAATATCAGACAAACAAGACAAAGCACAATTAAAAGGAGAATAAAAGAAGGAGCTTACAGTCAAAAACAAGAGAAACATTTGGCAATGTAAGTTAGATGTCTTGAAGACATGTTCTGTAATGAAGTAGATGATGAGAGAGGGACGTCTATATTTAATGCAATATATCATTTGTCATTTTAACATTACATTACATATTAAATACATTTAGTAAAATATCAGGAGGTACAATCAAATGCATAAAAACATTTTTTAAATATTAACATTATAAATATTCAATATTCTTAACAGTGAGACAGGAGAGTCATAGCTGCTTTTACCATTTTCATTTTTTAGAATTTAAAGTTTCTTGTCAAGGTAGGATGAGTTAGTAACACCCTAAAAACTTTACATCTGGTAATATAGGGATAACTTAAACAGTAATAGAAAGTTAAAGTAAAGTAGATCAGTGAACAAACGTTTGTATTTTCAAGTAAGATTTTCATCCAAAAAGACTCCAGACTTGCATGATTTGAATATTATTTATAAATATCTATGCTGACTATTTATTTCTTGTTAATATTTATTTTTTATGTATGTATGTCAGAAGCAGCACTGACTGAACTCCATTTAGTATTTTCTTTATTCTTTATGTGAGGGTGATCCTTTAAGTGCCCGGATATAACTGCTTATCCAGCAGATTGGACATCTCCATCCAGGACAGGTCCCACTGCACTTCTGTTGCGTCCTGCTTGGTCGCAGGAAGCTCCACTGCTGGTAGATCCTCTTTGGAAACTGGCCAACAGCTGCGGGTGCAAAACGTCTGGTACCTTGGCACAAATAAAATAAGAGTGAAGCATTTGCTCAGCAGTCTGTCTGACTTGTGATTTATGCCAGGATATCTGAGAAGAGAAGTGGAAGATTTTATAGATTCTGTGGCCAACCTGTAGTGACGAATCAGCCCAACAGTTAGAGGAATGAGGCACAAAAGTCCACATGAAACAATGACTGAAACAATCCATTTCCAGGAGCCTGATGAAGACAACAAATAAGATTTTAAGATTTTCGTTTTTTTCAGTTTTATACAATATGCAAGTCAACTGTAACTTTCCTAAAATAATAATCTGTTTTGTTTCTTCAGATGATATTAATTAATTTAAATAATTTCACATTTTGCTATGATGGTTGTGTCTTATAGTAGAGGCCATAGTTCTTGTATGTTGAACTCATGTTGGTGGGATGAGAATTAAACCATTGTTAAATAATGACTTGTTAGAAAGTGGTACTCTTTGCTTTACCCTGTAATTATTGTTATCATTGCCTATTCCTTCCAAACCTACTCAGTGCATGCAATAGTAATATGAAATAATTTTACCACTCGTGGAGGTTGCGGTCCCATCTGTTGACGTGAAGTTGCCTGTAAGACATAACAATTGACATCATTCATTGATCCACTCTGACTGATATTACACTAAACAGAATGATGAGTATTATCATTAAATGCAACAAAGCCACACGCTGACCTCGGTCAAGTCTCACTGATAACCAGCTCTCTGGACTCTCCAACCTTCTGTCCTGAGACGCACACTTATAGAAGCCTTCGTCTTCCTCTGTCACATTCAGAATAGTCATATTTATTACTCTGTCTGAACCGGAAGAAGTGTAAGGGAAGATTTCTGCTCCATTTTTAAAGAAGGTTGTTTTACTGTGATTGCCTGTCGAGTACTGACAATACAAGACCACTTTACTGCCCTTAAATACAGGGAAGGCAGGAGTCTTCAAGATGATGGCACCGTCTGTGGGACAAAAATAGCAGACATGGTTAACAGACAAATTGCTTCACTCACTATTATTATTACATTTGTTCTAAATCCTGTCACTCACACAACACATTTGAACCCACAATGTGTGATTGCTGATACACTTTGGAGCAACATACTGTCTGTTAGGACCATATTTTGCTTTCTTTTGTGTTTTTTTCCCCCAGTTTGTCCAGTGTCATCACTGTTACACAAGACTCACAGCTTACTGTGATGTTGACTGCGTTGCTGCGGCCCTCAGCGCCCTCACACCAGTACAGTCCACTATTTCCGCTGACAGCAGTGAACGCACACCTGTCAGACTTGTCTGTACTGACAGCACCCCCTAGTGGTGAACAATGGTCTATGTGGAGGACTCTTTTCCTCACTCTGCGGCCCGGAGAGAATTGCCTAAGCATCCAGCCTGAAGAGTTAGTCTGAGACACGGGGCACTGAACAGTAAAATTCTCTCCTCCGAAGATCTGTCTGGTGCTGGGAGTCAGAATCAGTGAGGGAGGAGATAGCTCTGGAGGACAGAGATGGACAGAGAAAGTGAGAAGAACACAATCAATCAAGATGCAGTTGTTTCATACAATAGCAGCAGACAAATACTTCCATCTTGATTACTATGAAAAGGCACTAGAAGGGCAACGTAGAGTGACGGAAAAGTCACATGAATTCTGATATGACTGTTCACACTGAGGTCACATTGCAAAAATTAAGACTTGGACCACATAGTAAAGTGGCCTGAGTCAGAATTGACAAGATCAGATTCCATGTGATTTGAGATGTTCACACTGTCATGAAAAAAAAAACAGATCTGAGTCTATTAGAGGCAGTTAGTGGACTGACATAAAACATATTTTTGGGTGTGTCCATACAACCATCTAAAGTTTGTAAGAGAGGTTTTGAGGATTAATTAGGTCGCTGTAATACTGTAGGTGCTATTTCCATTTTAGGATCCAATACTTAGCCAACATGATCAAAATGACCACAGGAATTAATGCAATAATGATAATAAATTGCAATATTGAATCTACTGAGTAATGAATGAATAATATTCTTAGAGTACTTAAACACCCAGGTCATAAAAGCCTAAAAATAACATTAAAATTTATATAAACATAATTGAAAAGAACAGGACTTCTGGCAGTTGTCTGACAATATAAAACATGTAGGATAGATTGACATTATGTCTTCTGTGGCTGTATATGTATACATGTCACTGTATTAGAAGTCAGTCCTGCACTGCCTTATGTGCTGTCAGGTGCATACAGGAGAAACCCAATGCCTCGCTGCAGAGGTTGTAGCTGCTGCTGCTCACCTGACACACTGAGTGTAGCCGGCTGGCTGAGGAGCAACACAGAGGTGGTGTTGCCCTCCCACCGCTCAGCTTGGCACCAGAAGCTTCCCGCGTCCTCCCTTGTTACCGCGGTGATGGAGTAGCTGTCACCGGAGACCAGGTGCCTGGGGTTTGGGGTCGGAGCAGTGTGTGGCTTTTGCCTGAACCACTGGTAGCTCCACACAAAACTGGAGTTTGACTGCACTGTGCACTGCAGCAACACACACTCACCGAGGTACAAGTTTGACCCCGGAGGCCACACAGACACACTGACCTTCAGAGTCTCTGCACAAAGACAGAAGCTCCATTATGGTTCGTGCTTGTACCAAACATACTGTAGTTGTGTGTGTGTATGAGAAAAGGTGCTCTTTCTGTATGTATTTATTGTGTTTACCTTTAGATGGAGCAGCTTGGACAACAAATGCGGCTACACCTGAAACACAGAGAAATTACACACCAACACACACACACACACACACACACACACACACACACACACACACACACACACACACACACACACACACACACACACACACACACACACACACACATCTCCTCATGTTCTCGTAAAAACCACAGCTTGTTCCTGTCACATCAGTGGCATTATGGGTAGAGTATGTTTAGTCTACTCTGCCAATCAGGAGTAAAGTGCGTTAACATGACCACCACAGACAGCTTTTTTCCCACATGGTGGCACGCCAGATAGTCATTTATGGTCCACTGCTGATTTTGGTTTATATAACCAAGACTTTCAGAAAAAGTTAATCTCTACAGACAGATTTAATACATCTAACACCAATAAACTGTCTGTAAGACACAACAACAATCTCTAATTCTGCTGAGACGTACACAAACTGCCCAAGCCTCATTCTTTCCATAACACACCAACACACACAAACACAGTGTCACAGTACTGCCACACAGTGTAGAGACAGAGCTTCCTGTTCCTTAATGAGACTGTTTAGACGATTATCATCCCCATGGGAACAGAAGGAATGCACGCACATTTGCTGTGTTTTCCCGCTAGACACCACACACATACACACACACACACACACACATAAAGTAGTGTAACATACTACTACTACTATAGTCAAACAGTTTTGCACATAACTCAAGGCTGTCAGGGATGGAATAGCCAACATGACAGTCTGGCTGCCTTGTCTAAATCATTTCCATTAGCCCTATTTAGATTCTGGCTGGTGCATATCATTTTAATTTAGCACTGTCTGAAACTCCCAGCTGCAGGCAAACAGCCCAGTAAAATTTATTACCCTGCATACAATACTGATATACTGATATCCGCATCAAATAAGAGCGTACAGCTTTGGGTCTAGGTCAGCACTGCTCTGACAGCTGAACGCAAACGCTTCCTAAAGCACTTGCACTATGTTTTGTCCACCAGTAGAAGAACCTTTTTAATAAAAACACATATTTCTTGCAAACCTTCCCAGCAGAGGCCACACAGTCTGAATGCAGTCAAGTTAAAAAAAAGGCAGGTGTGTGTCAGTCAGTCAGGTTTTATCTGTGATATACTCACCCAGCAGTGAGGAGATAAGGATGATGTCCATTCCGTCCAATGTCTAAAATTAGATGTGCAGCTTCCCTGTGATACTTTATAAGGAGAGAAAGTGGAAATAATTTCGATTTTAAGACTCCCTATGCTTACAATTGTGTATACAGGTTTCCACAGCCTTTTTATTTCAGATGCTATGAGACAGAGAATAATTGTATCTCTCAGGGAGAGTTTCAACTGCCTATCACAGCAAACCACAGACAGAGATGGTCATCTTGGTGGAGACATTTCCTTCCTCTGTCAACCAGTTAACAGGCGGAGCCATCAGACAGCAGCAGTCCAGGGACAGACAGAAAGGCATGGAGGTAAAGATCCCAAACCACAAAACAACCAATTTACTATTAGCAAGCTGTTTTACAGATTCTCTGTAAGAATCTCAGATGTCAGTGTAGTCACATCACCCTATGTGACCTGCCAAACCTGCTGTATGAAATGTGACAGAACATATTTCTTCATGTTTTTCTCAATTAGTTCTGTCCCAGATTGTGCTGCTGATGTACAACCTGCTAATGCTGACACCAGTTTCTGATTGTCACTGTTTTATTTATAGATATCTTCTTATTCAGGTTGTTGGTTGTTTTGTTATCTCTTCTTTGCTCTATTTATATCCTACTTTTCTTTCCAGTACTTGCTGACCCTTATGTCTTGTTTTCTCTTTGGGGAGTATTTAATTTTATCCAGATTAATCCAATCCATCAGATAAAGTTTTGGTAAATTAAAATTAAATATATTATTATAGTTACTAGTTCAATGGTGAAATAGGCTGACATAGACAGTGTGTTCCTCATCTGCTTATCTTGGCAGGTAAGAGAGCCCAACTGCAGTTTGCATTGCAGTGAACCAAATGGAAATTAGACAGTGTGGTCCTTCAATGTGGCTCAAGACACATTGCTTTACATTGTTGAAAGAATCACCTGCAGCCCAGACCGCCTTCGGATGCAGCTAGAGAGATCAGATCTAAGTGCGTCTTGGGTGCATTCATACTTTGAGCTTTCCACGTATGATCGGATCAACCAAGGGAAATATTAATGCCATGTGTAAACGGGGCCTTTGTTTACTGCCAGCTGCTGTCTGTCAACCACAGACACTGACACAGCCTCCTCCAGCTGCCTCAGAGCAAAAGAAGCATTTCTGATATTTTCCCAAATATCATTTTACTTCCTTTTAACTCAAAAAAACACAAAACATTTAAATAACATTATATCCATTGTATGTTTGTTTTACAACAAAGAGGGATCACTACATGTGATTCCAGTTTAACTTTAGCATCATCAGCATGTTAGCATGTGTGGATTAGTTTTAATTACAGCTGAAAGGCAATTCTTTTTCTCATTATAATCTTCTGTGGTAGAATCTTTCTTTGGTTTTTGTTGCACCTCTAACTTCCTGCAGCCAAACTACAGTGCATCTCCTATGAACTCCTCCTGACTGCACGCTCTGTGCTTGCACAGGTAACTACAGCCGCCTCATTATCCCCGACTGATCCCCGCCTTCCTCCTCATCATCCCTCCCTCCACCTCTCTGCCCCTCCCTCCACCTCCCATCGCTCCCACAGCCAGCCTCCCAACATCCACAGGGTTTCTTCCAGGAAGTCGGATGCTCTGCTGGAATGCCTGGGAGAGAGACCATCCTTCTTGTCCATTTGTGAGAGAGAGAGGGAGAGAGAGAGAGAGAGAGAGAGAGAGAGGAGAGCCAGTGGGGAGGAGGTGGAGGAGAGGAAGAGGAGGAGGGGTGGCGATAGGAGAGAGGAACAGACATGGCTTCTAAGGAGATCACTGCCTCTGGTTTCGTGAGTGTGAGCAAGGATATGACAGGTGGGTAGAGACCGCCGCTTGGTTATTTTGCTCCGTGTGTGTGCGTGTTGTTGTTGCGGGTTATAACCGCGGTCACCCCCGGCGTGTCTGCGTTCATGCTCGGGATGCTTTTCCTCCGCGCGTCTGGCGGAGGCTGCGACCGAACAGACGCATTGGATGATAGTCATAAGCTACACCTTTCATTTTACCCTGAACCTTTCCGGGGCGGCTTTCTTCCCCCTCCCTTCTTCTTCTTCTTCTTCTTCTTCTTCTTCTTCTTCTTCTTGTTCTTCTTCTTTTTTTTTCTCAGTGCATGTGAATTAGTTAATGTGCAGATGAATTATTTACAGTGCAGGGGAAATATACCTTGTTTGAAATCTGCCCCTCGGGGCGGATCAGGTAATAAAAACCCCCAGCCTTAGGCCAGAGAGGAAAAAGGGGCGTTGTGGACATAATGGTTTGTACTCGTGGGTCTGATAGCGTTTTGTTCCCTGCACGTTTTTACCAACACACACTATGTCAGAGTGTGATTCCTCCCCTCTCTGAACCTCAACCCTTGTGTATTTTATCTTTGTTTTCCTGCAGCCTATCCTGCTATAGTGATTGCGCGCGTGCGTGCTGCGTGCGCGTGCGTGCGAAAGTGAAGCGATGGGGGGGCTGACAGAGGCAGATGTTCACCGTATCTTGCCAGCAAGAATGCATGAGCCACGCAAACCCAACAGCGCGACAGAACGCGCAAATATTGATCATTTTTTTCCCCTCAAACAGCAACAGCTTACACATGTCAAAGTCACGGCACTGCCTCGGATTTAATGTCGTGCACGAGCGCAACGCACGCGCACCACCACAGAAACACACACTGCACACATGCTCAGGGTATCCGGGACTCTGCTGCTGTGTTAATTACTCCTAATGGCTCTATTAGGCGCACTGTGATGATTAATCCAGTGGAATCCCTGCCTCTCCATTCAGTCACCTGCGGCGCCCTGCCTGCTCTGACTGACAGGTGGAGCACCGGGGCCACCGGGCCATGGTGGTCTGCAGGCCTGCACAAGGTCACCTGAATGAGACCTTAGTCCTGATCTCCTCGCTGGATGGACTAAGACTGTTGTCCAGTGTTATATCAATGTTATCAATCCATCTCTGGCTCTCACTACTCTCACTGACTGGAGGTGCCAACTGGCACCAGTTCGTTTTCAGAAGAGCATTTATGTATATTTTGGAGGTTTGGAAAGGAGGCCCAACACTCAGATACTGCTGCTGTGTACATTCGAAATTGTAAAAATACTCTAGTACACAAGTAAAAGTTAAAAACCTAAAGTAAATGTACAAAAGTGTTATCAGCAAAATGCACAAAAAGCATCAAAAAGTGCTAATTTTGTAGCACACTGTACCCTTTTAGTGTCATAATACTATATCATTGGATAATCAGCGATGCATTCAAGTGTATGTTAATGTTGTAGCAGGTTAATGATGCCACCTTTATCTACTTTATATACTGTGAGTTGATTCTATTATTCATCCTATTTCATTAACTGATTCTATGGTTTGTCTGTAAAATCTACTGAAATGTAACTACTGCTGACAGACAAATGTGGAGGAGTTAAAATTCCTCTGTGGAAGTACGAAGTAGCACTGCTCCATAAAGAGTAAAACTTGCTTTACTATGTGCTGCGACTGTATCAACTCCCCCTGCCAAATCCCACCGTCCTGGCTTCAGAATCGATTTGCTCATAAAGTCGTCAGTCGGGATGCTGTGCAGCCACAGTAATGGAGAGGCTAAATCTTGTCATTCCGGCCAGCGACTGTATGTTTCTGAGATGGTGTGTCGGTGCTGTGTGTTCCCACTCCGTGAGTAAGACACTTCTGGCGCGGCAGGCAGGTTATGTGCTGTATACATGTCGAAGGTCACAGCACTGACGGTGATGCTGCTTGACAGGAACAGTTCTCAGTGAATCATAGACACTGATGCTTGCATGTGTCATGTTGAAGGAGATAACACTGAAGCATATTGTGAACCATTTTAATGATACCACGAGATACAGTGGCTCGGTGATAACATGGTCCTGAACTCATTGAGCAATACAGAAGGAGACTAACTGTTATATTTCCAGCCATGATTAATCCAGACAACTACGGGCCATATTGTGTTTTGAAGCACATAATACCCTGTTAGTCTTTTTGCTTCAGTGTTGCATGCATATTGTATCAACTTATAATTATTAGGGATATATTCAGACTCAGAGTTGGCTGGATTATTCTATCATCTGAAATGTCACAACAAGTCTGTTCAAAATAAAAGCCTGACATATAATGAATACAGGCCTGTCCACCCAAAGGTCAGGGTGGGTTAGTTTGATTTGGATGTATTTGATATGTGTCGTGATACTGGGGTTTTGGTGCCTGGCTGGTTTCAAACCAGATACACTGCCGTGCCTCCCTAGAACATTGGGGTGCTCCTATTTTAAACCATTTACTATGAAATATGTGTGCTTATTATCACCAATTATCTTCCAAATTGATATTTGAATGTACTTTTTCTCTACCTCGAAGGCAGTTATGCTACAAAATGAAAAATCAACTTGCGGAGACAAATAATCTACAGTTAACATCACATCCCCGCACTCACTGCTCACACAACATTAATGTGACTGTGACAAACATAAATGCAGACATCATTTTCCCCGTGATAATTTACCTGCGTCTATCTGGAATGTAACACAAACAAATCTAAGAGAGTACAGCATGCTTTTAAAAGTGCTCAGCAGTAATGTGTTTTTTTATTGAAATATGCAAAAATGCTGGTTTGGTCCTTGAAAAGACTGAAACAGAGAGTTCCCTGTGTGTGCCTACATTTCTAACATTATTTGTCTATGTGTTGTGGCTTTTATCCACAGAAAGCATCAGGAAGATTGTTGATAAATCATCTATCAAGTTCATTCATGGCATAAAACTTGACACCAAAAATGGCAAAACAGAGGACAGAATATTGGTAAGTTAACTGTGGGCTGGGCTGTTATTTTAATGAGCCTCTGCGCTACAGTAACACTGGGTTGCTCATGTAGAAGAATGCCACAATCCTGCAGCCTAAGCAGTGTGTTGCATGCATCATGTATGTACAGTATCTTTGATGTTAACTTCCACTGCAGTGTTAATGGATCCATGACAACGGAGGTAGAGACTCTCCATGATTTACCAGGGAAGCGGCTTGCTTCTGAGGTCACATGCTAACTGCTCTATAACTGCTGCCCCTCTTCTGTGACTGCTGTTGGAGGATGAATATTGGATAGACAGTATCTGTGCGAGCGGCTGTGGACTCCTAGTAGGCAGTAGCAGCAGGGGGCTGGGCCGCTCACAGCCTTTGATTCTGGGTGCTTTCATCAAAGA